CAGATACTCATCAAGTTTGGTGTAGCAGACGAGGTCATATTTGGGCCTGCTGATGGCTGTCTTGAGCGATGCCCAGAAAGAGCAACGCCCGTTGGCCCTGCTCCCGGGATGGGTGCAGATATCATTTCTTCTTGCGAGGTGTCTAGGTTTCCTGTCCCAGGGGCTGGGCTTGGATATGCTGTTGTAACACGACTGGGCCCAATCTCTGAGAACAGCCTCGAGTTCCTTGCTGCGATTCCATTTGCCTTCGACATCGGGTTCCCTATACTAAGCAGAGGAAGAATGAAGCCGGCATTCTCTGTCATGTTGTTGATGATATGTACCGCCTCGTCGGCAGCGGTATACATGCTCTGAAGTTGGTGTAATGCATCAAGGCACTGGCAGAAGCGACCTATACTGATGTTCCGCGTTTCCTCATCTGGGGAACGTATGTTTAGCAAGTGTATTAGAGCCGCCGATAGGAATGCTGGGACACTGCTCGTCGGCGCATAACACATCAGGCCGCTGAACTGTAGATCAAAGGCAAGCTTGGTAATGGCCACGGCGGCCTCAGTTAGCTTGCGCCTTGAATCTGCCTTGCGCGCCGGATCGATGCTATCCGAGCCACTGTAGAAGACCTGGGGCCGATGTAAGGCCCCAATCGCCGTGAGATATTTCATATAGAGCAGAATCTTATGCAGTCTGATCGTGGAGTTTTCTACCTGCGCAGCGGCGGCCCCGCCATCTCGGGCTCCAGGGACATAGCGAGACTCTGGGGCAAGGCTCTGAAACCACTCTTGGAGATCAGCATCGCACTTTGCAAAGCTGTGGGCCTGCTCCTTCAAGCTTCTAGGTCGAACAATCGCCCTTCGCAGGTAGTTGGAGCCCGCTCCCGGCGTACTGGCAATGGTGTACTGGGTGTGGAGAATCCGTCCAATCGTAAAACACAGCTGGCTGAGGTCTATACAGAGGTTGGCTATTCTCTGACGATTTACAGGGTCTTTACCCGTGTAGCTTGGAGCTGCAAGCAAGCGAGCGACTGCAGGTGGCGGTGGCAGCGAAATGTCAAAATCATCAAGTCGTAACCGTTCAACACTGAATTCATCTTCCTGGATTCTGGAAGGGCGACGAAGGCCGAGCCCAAGCAGTCGATCTCGTATCACGCAGGACCACCATATCCGGCGCCGCAGCCGTCCATTCTTGGTCATCTGCTGCGGCTCCTCCAGGTCGCGGTGGAGACCTTCAATGTGCGCTGTGGTAAGAGCGAGGCCCATCCAGTACCATGTATGCTTCTCGTCACTGTCGGAATCATACCAGTATGTCATGAGGAGCAGGGACTGTACCAGAGTTAAACGGTCTGCTTCATAACCTAGACTATAGAGAAGCTTCACGCGGTTAAAGAAGACTTGTCGGGCTGCTCTCTTGTTCTTAAAGCCATACCTTTGCAGTAGTTGCATATCAATAAACGTAACGCTGGCAAACATAATAGCCTGGAATAATAATAGACTAACAGTTCCAACCTCACTTGACCCTGTAATAGGTTCAAGAAAGTCTGCAAGATCAATGGCAGGCATAAAGGGATAGACTACGAAGACGTATATCCGTATAAGCTCATCTCGTAGCTGATTATCGGGTATAGTAAAGCAGTCCTTGCGAGCTAAAAACTCAAGGTCATGGTTGTCCAGATGAGAAGGATGGGGGCTGATGTATAACGGTAAATGGTTTTGGTCTGCATGAGGCGTGTTTGCTGAGGCGCTGACATTGTCCATTTTTGATGAAGAAGGGGGGGCCTCTGCAGTGTCTTGTTCAGTCCATCCTAGAGCGTAAAATCCTAAATTAGATCTGATATAACTTGACTGCGATATCTTCCTCTCCTTGTATGAGACTGGATACGTTGTTCTTACCTTGAAAGGCGAGAGCCACCAGATAGTCAGACGTTTGTGGGTTGGCAGGCTGAGCGGAGGGCGTCGAGCGTGTCGCAGCCCCTTGGCTGGGTTGCGGCTGTGGTTGTTGTTCGCAATGCGTCTCGTCTACGATGCCATTGGGTTGGACCTGGGTGTCGTGTATTATTCGTGTTTGTTCTGCTTCTTGTTGGTTGTGCCAGCTGTTGTTCTCGTCTGCGCCATCGTCGCATATCGTTTCTTCGTCGCCATGAGCCACTGACTGGCCACCGCGGCGCTCTTGAGGCTGACCAGTGGCTACAGAGCCATGGCCATGGTCAGAGCGGAAGACGGTGGCAGGAGCTGAGCCAGGTGCAGGCCCAGGTGCGGCTGTGTCAGCGTCCGTATTTATATTATCGGAAGGTGAGGGTGCTCTTGGAGCCGTGGCATTCGACGACAAGCTCGAGCGAGCCGGATGTCTGGCGGGATTGTGTTTGCCTCGATTCGATGCCTTTAGGACGCAGTCGACGTCGTCGAGCCGACAGTTGGTGCATGGCGGTCCGCCGTTGACAACGTCGCACCGCACCTTACGATCTCGACACGAGACGCAGGCCCTGACTGCTCGCTTCTTTACAGGCCGGTTGCCGGCTGTCGATGGGTTGTTGTCCCAAGAACCAGGTCGTTTTCGCGGAACCTGGCTGTCGTGAGCATGGGCAGAGGCAGAGGGGCCCTGGGTACCAGGCCGTTTATCAGGTGATACCATTAGAAGTTTCTGCCCCTTAGGCTTTGCAGATGGGTAACTGTCGTTTTCAGTTGTTCTTCTTGCGCTTGATACCTCAGATATGACCCAAGTGTTGCCATCCAATTGATCTGAGCAACCAGGATGGGCTGATTAAGTTATGGTGAAAGAAGAAAGTCGGAGAAGCTCCGGAGAAACTACTGTACTAGGAGCCGGCTACAAGTCACATGATCAGCCAGGATTTTTGACAAACAATATTCCAAAGAATTACTGTCCCCCAGCGATCCAAGGGAATGATTACAATGCACCTGGGGCACCTGGGACAGAGTAGACAGAGACTTAGCTAGCAAAGAGAGGAGGCAAACAGCGACATTTACTACACTCTCCACAAACCTTAGATGCATATATACCAAGGTACCCAACTGAGTACTAGAAAGTGGATATCTAGATCTAGGGTAGGTAATTGTAAGTGTTGCAAGGTTCAAGATACTCTGGCATTAAGATCAATGAAATGCTGACACTAACTAAGGAACGAGAAGAGGGTCTTTCTAGAGGGATTTTTCTCAATCCATATATATACCATCCCTCACCTCAATTCACCCATTTCTGCCGGTTCAAGCCCTTTTTATTTGTTTAACGCTTTATCCTATATTGAGATACGCTAAGTATAGTATGGAAGTTATTTCTAACAGTAGGCTTTCCTATCAACTCTGTTAATTCAATGGTGTTTCTTAACAAGGCGAGAGTAATGCTACCCCTACCTCTGCAATGTAAGAAAAGGTGCGTTTAAAATACTGCTGAAAAGTATGTAATCTCCCGACTAAATATCCGTGTCTCTCCTCTTCTGCATTACCTGGCGCGACGTGTAGAAACACACTTGAGAATTGATTGCGTTTCAATTGGTGGGACAGTCGGTGGTAAAGACTTGATCCAACATTCTGCAACTGTCATCCGAAATTCCCCTACATTCCCCGGACCCCCGGGCCTAACAAGGCAGGGGTCCAAGCGACAGTTCAAACTTATGTTACCTCGGCTATTATATTCTCCGACTTCTCTAACTGATCCTTTCTCCCAGAGGTTCCAGCATTTTCCAAGAAACCCCCTACATGAGGGTCATAATATATAACTGATAACCTCTCGGGGGTTATCAATTTAATCTCCATTTGACATATCAAAGATATCCAGTTTATTTGGTCTGATTCTAACCATATCTAACCATACTGGTTTATTAGATAAGCGGGAAAAACTAGATTGGCTTATTTGTCAAGCGCCCCGAAGGAACCCCGGACGAACTATAAGCATGTAACAGGTCTAGTGTGTATAGCAAGCGATATGGCACGAGTCAGACTGTCAGAGACTAAGATTGTCATTCAACTGCCCTCTCCCTGCACAATGCCGAGGCTATATCTCCTCTCTCCCCGACCTCCCCGCCCCTCTCCCAATCTCCAACCCGTTTTGCTACAGTCTCCACATTCGCATTCCACTCCCCATGTCGTCAAAGAGACTGTCACAAAATGAGCAAGAGAAATCCCCAGGGACGGGTCCACCAACGCACAAGCGACGGCGCATCGGCCTCGCCTGTAATACGTGCCGGATGCGGAAGTCTAACACGTGGCAACAGACTTCGCGTCATCCTCACGCTTAGGTATCATAATCTTGGCATCTTGATACACAAGCCACTGCTAAGCACCATAATGCGCCATCTGTTCCAGGCTGGGAACAGAATGGAAGTGCCACTGTCTTATATAATACAGCTTGCCATGGCAGAGGCACACGAGTGTTACCGGGAGGATGAGCCAAAACCACATTGTGACCGGACATGATACCTAACGAGTAGGAATTTGGGTCACCTCTGGCTTTTCCGATGCGGGGACAACCATCGTCCTCATCCCAGTGGTGATCGAAGAGAGCTAGAACTGAATTGGCCTCTAGAGGAAGTGCACATATGAGCGCTACTTGGAACTCAATGCGGGATCTGGGCCTTGCTGGATCCATGTCAAAGGAATAATATAAGGTTTAGAAATTAGAACATATAGCGGAAGCCTAAGTTCCAAGATTATCCCCATCCTCCGAATGCTAACGAGAGAATGTGTCTTGAGCTCATTATATAACATCTGTCCAATAAAGCATTCTATTTCAAGCCTCGGCGGGATATTCGGTCCATCTTCTGGTTGACTTCGCAGCCTTATTTTGCCTATATGCATGCTTGAACCTCAGAACCAGACTGTGTCGGACTCCCCCGTTTTCCCAATCTCACTCATTATCTGAAAAAAGAGGTTGATAATTAAGAACCTTGGTTTATACTTTTAAAGCCTACCCTGTATTTCCATCGGGAACGTAATCCATCCCCGCTTATACACTAATCAGTTGTAAGTGACTGTAGCGATTATTAGGCCCTTATTCTATATGGCGGTGTTTGATACCTCTTCCAATTCCAAGTCAAACATATCTAGAAACTGGGGTGTCTGGAAAGATTCCATCCCAAGCTCATATCCATCCGGGTCTCCAATTTTGTCAAACAGGTCGGAGGCTTTGGCACAGTCGTCTTCAATCTCCATGTTTCCTTTCTCGTCCGCATATGACTTATCGCAGCTAAAAGCAAGCATTTGGTTTTCAGCAGGAACTTCAACATCTAGAAACATGAGGCTCGGACTTGTGAACTGTGCTCTGGCCAAGAATAGACTGAGTGAAGAGTCCTCTGCGTAACACCCAACCGACAGCGACAGATCAATTGTCCGCGAGAGGCGGAAATAGAGAATAGGCTCCTGTAATAAGAATTTGCCCCAGTCGTCAGCTCCTTGGATCGAAGTGGATGGCTTAGAGCAAAGTGCACTACTAGGGACCGAATCAGTCTTTGGTGAACAAGAGTCTAAGGTCCCAGAGGTGGCAGAGTCAATAGCAGCACGGATGAAAGCCCAGACATCGTCAACACCATCATAAAGGTTCTCTAGTCCCTTCATGGTCTCCATGTAGATGTTAAGTCTACCTTGTTTCCGGGCTGTCTGCGACGGTAATTTTGCAAGTTTGACATCCAGAATATGCAACACCAGTGGTAATGCTGCATACGCGATGCTGATAAGGGTCAGCCCGGGTAGGGGTGAGGAAAGTGATTGACTTACATGCTGATAGGAAGGAATCTGGCGACTTTGAGTTGAACTAGCTCCTTAAGGTTATCTGTGATTCCCAGTGTAGCATCTTCTAGCTGGAGCCGCGTCTGATGTAGCTTGTCGTCCATACCCGCTCCTGGCGATGTAAGACTCACGACAAATGCCTCGTATTGATATAGTGCGACGCGGGCAGAGCTTGAAAGAAGGACATGGTTAGTAAACAACACACGGTTGGAATGGTAGCTTACTAATAGTATATGTACATCAAATTTGTGTACAAAACGAGCGACTTCTCAGTCCTTGTAATCCCAGCAGGGATAGGGAACTTGATGGTCGCTGTGTCGAACCAGGCATCCAAGTTGGCCTCACAGAATCGGATGGATTCTTTTATCTGTTCCTGATTATCGATCATGGGGGTTATAGCATCTACAGCGGACTGTCCCATCCCATAAACCGTCTGAACCACACTGGTGAAAGGAATTGCCAGTTCACAGAGACTGAGGAATAACTGGACTAGACTCCGTTTGGTTTGTGACGAGTAAACCTGCGAGCCATGAATCTCTTTCGCAAAGTCTCTTTCCGTCAGGTGATTCAGAGCTGGGTTTATCGATGTAATATGCAACTGTCTCCGAACACCAAGGGGCAGGATCCGATCTCGCACTATGCAACACCACCAAAGCCGTTTCAGTCTATTGGTCGTATCCGAGTCTTGATCTGGCCTTTTGTGAAACTGATCGGCTTCTGCACCCTGCGCGTACTGAATAGCTGTTGCAAGCAATATGGAGTTTGTACGCGCTCGGTCTCGCATGGTCGCGTAGTAAGTCAGTAGTAATGCTCCTTGGGCATTAGATACGAGGTCGCTGCCAGAACAAATGTCTAGTAGAAGCTATAGAGATATCAGCCTTTGGGTTGGGACCCTGAGACAATACAATTACCTTGGCCCGACGATAGTAATTTTCTCTTGCATTACGCCTGGAGGTGAACCCAAGACACTTCAACGTCGGGAAAGGGACGAACTAATAACAGTCAGCTATGATGATGATTAACGCGTGTGGAGATCACTTGCGCTGCATGAGGTGAATAGCATCGCCTGGAGTAAGAATAGTGAAATCGTTGGTTCTCCATGTGGCACCTTGTCGCCAGAGTAAATAGCCCAAAACTGGGCCTCGTCCAATAGAGGAAGACCTGGATGCACGTGGAGAAAATACTCTCTAATGAAGTCATCCAGGGCGTCTGGAGTAGGAACGCTCAGACATCTCCGAGACTCCAGATAGTGAACATCATCAGGCTCCAGGCCAGACATGTCGAGGGTAAGGAATGGATAATAGGAGTATGTAATATGTGATCTGGTGTTGGGTCCTGCACTCTGACGTGTCATCGCGGTACCTGGCGCTCCACAGGGTTCAAGATCATGATGTACTTGGCCTGGAATTCTTGGCTGCTGTTCCCCTTTCTCAGTGTGTACCGTTGTTATTAAGTTTTCAATGTTCTCGAAGCACGTCGATGGGCTCTCAGGACTTTGGTCTAGCGGACTCTCAAAGAGCAAGGACGCTTGATCTAAATGATACGGAGACATGGGACCTGGGACTGCAGCGTCTTTGCTTTCTTCTTGCTGTTGGAAGCTATTCCGGAACACAATGGGCTTTGACCTCTCGGTTATGAGTGGTGATCTCTTGCGGCTTTTCCTGTCAACAATCTACCATACTACTACAACAAATAACTTACTATTTGGCCCTCCTCGCTATGACGGTACATTCGGCATTGTCGAGCGCGCAGTTTGTACATCTTTGTGGGTTTCGGACAACATCGCAGCGGACTTTCCTCGTGCGACAGTTCATACAAGCTTTAGAGGCGCGAACTCGCGTAGGCACTGATTTTGGGGTTTCTGATTCTTGCATGACTGAGTTACAATTGGTAATGTGTTTTGGTGAAGACGTGATGATGAAGGTTCAACTGGGCGAAGCAGAGAAAAGGACCTAGCTGGTTGGAGAGTTTAAACGCGGGGTAGCATTTCGCGGGGTCAAATCTGGGGAAGTCGAATAGGCTGTAAGAAAGCAAAGTATATTTGAATAGCAATGCGTTGCTCTAACTCGATGAAGCCAAAGCGTTCCCTTGATCGTATGAAATTATCAATTCTTGATGCAGGAAATTCCTTCCTGGACCAGTAAAAGCAGGCCGAATATCACTAGCTCTAAAACACACTGCACCACCGGAATCTTCGGACTGTCGTGAAATAAAATGTTCGAATTGCTGATCAGTACAACACTCAATCTTGGCGAGCTGCAGTTAATGTCACGCTCCAACTGCAGACCAATCGCTGGAAACCAGCCATTCCCCGCCGGCTCAAAATTTCTACCGAGGGTGAAATTTCCACCGAAAATCTCCTAATCAGGACAAGTTTACCCACCAATTGATCATAGACGAGGACTAGGGTCCTTGCTAGCAAAGCCATCTTTGATCAATCGCCGAAGAATCTTGCCAGACGGGGATTTTGGAATGACATCGGTGAAGACAACACCGCCTGTGATTCGTTTGATGGGCGATAGGCGCTTGTCCATGAATGAGAGGATGGACTCGGCTGTCGCATGAGGATTCTTCCGGACGATGTGCGCCTGGGCATGTTCCTGTCCGTCACTGTAGTCGGGGCTGTCAGTAAAATGTCATGCTGGGCTAGTGATATACTCCTACCGTAGAACACGGATAACGGCGCAGTCTAGGACACTATCGTGCTCTAGAAGGTGGCCTTCCAGTTCTGATGGCGCGACCTGGAATCCCTTGACCTTGATGAGCTCCTGGTATTCACTGTCAGCGCGGGTCATAAGCGAGTTTCTGCCAATACAGACCTTTTTGCGATCGACGATAGTAACCAGCCCCGTCTTATCGATCTTGATAATGTCTCCAGTCTTGAGCCAGCCATCATCAGTGAAAGCTTCCTTGGTAGCAGCAGGGTTCTTATAGTAACCCCTGAACACATTGGGTCCGGCAAGTATAGCCTCTCCTTCTTCATCGTAGCCAAGAGCCTTGCCATTCTCGTCAATGATTTGAAGCTGCATGTTGGCGACCAGGTATCCAACACTTCCATGAGAGGGATCAAACTCATCAGGTCCAAAGATCGAAATCGACATGGTAGCCTCACTCATACCCCATCCTTGTCGGCTGCGGGCGCCTGTCTTGCTGAAGAGTGCCTCAAGTCGCTTTTCCACATCGGCCTGAAGTGGTGCTGCTCCACAGACAAGGAATTTGACACTAGAAAGGTCGTGCTGAGAAACAAGAGGACTCTTGACGAGCATAGATGCCACTGGGGGCGCTAAGACCAGGGCAGTTACTTTAAAGTCCTGGATCGTGCTGAGGAACGACTTCAGATCGAACTTTGGCATCACGACGGTGGTACAACCTCGTTTCACATTCATGATACTAAAGGTAACAAGTCCCACTGAGTTCATTGGTTAGCCTATATCACGAGCGACAAGTAATTAGAGTGACCTACTAGCGTGATAAAATGGGAGAAAAGCTAAATGCACGTCGTTGGCTGCAAAGGTTGGGTCATTCTTTCGCTTCCTTGCCACGCGGTCAAGATGCAGATTCTGCTCCGCGTTGGCGACCATGTTTCGATGGGTGATCTCACAAGCTTTCGGGAGACCGGTCGTGCCACTGCTGAAGTTGAGAACGGCTGGCCTAAGAGATATGTCAGCATCCGTGGACTGTGAAGAAGCTTCTTTGGCATCATACTTATCTGCAAGGACTTTAGAGTCTGAAATCCTCTCCCAAGAATACGTTCCGTGACCTAACAAGCTTTGGAAGGATGAAACGCCATCGACTGAGCTACTATCCTTGGAGTTAATGAGGACTAAAGAATTGGGTGGTAGGCCTGCAGCCTTTGCGGCTTTCTTGGCCATCCCAAGGCGGGGGCTATCGGTGACGATGCATTTGGCGCCCGAGACGGTGAGTTGATTGACCAGTTCTGTAATTCTTAGCCAATACTGGATTATTTTACACCAGTATAACCCAGTGACCGCTCACGACTTACCAGAGTATGTGTATGTTGGATTAGCTCCAGTGAAGACGCCCCCAGCGGCAATTGAGGCAAGGATTACTGCTGGGTAGAGGATCTGTATCGATTAGCCAAGGGAAAGATGCGATGAGCGAAACTGCTAACCGAGTTCTCGCAAAAGCCCAAGACAACGTCGCCGTCTCGTATCTTTAACGTGTTTCGCAGTCCAGCAGCTATGGACTCAACCATATGCTTGAGCTGTGCTTTGTTAAGTTGTTGGGTCGAGTCGTGAGCTTCAACATACAGAGGCTTATCTAACGAGGCTTGTTGTGACTCCTCCGACCATGAATCTTGACAGGGTGAGCAATCAATAAGTCTGAAACTCAGGGAGTAGGCGCATACCGAATATGTAAGTGAGGAGGTCGACCTCAGGAATGGGAATGTTATATCTAGAGGTGAAAATCATGGTGAAGATCTGGAGGTATCAACGCTGGATGGGTACTGCTAAAGTGGTGTAATAAATATTGCAGACAAATAATAGAAACTACGAATTGACATATTTAAATAGTAAAAGGCATAGATTGGCTTATTGTAACTACTTCCCTTCGTAAACGAGTTGCTATTTGCCATGGGTAAATTGCGGCGGCAAATTTTAGCCTCGGCTGAATTTGGTGCATTTACGGCATCACTAAGTCGCGTTACGCGACTTCGACACAGCGGGCAACAGGCCACCCTAAGAGATGAGGATCTAGTCATAGAACCCACTAAACCTATCTAAACTACCCTAAAGTTGGTATGATCAATCTACTCTCCTTCGATGATCAGATACGTAGGTGTAAATAAATTGTTCTTCCCAAAAGCTAGCCCTAATAAACCATCCTAATCTGCATCAACCAACGCACTTCCAACAAATCATTGTCTCCCAATATGAGTTAGCCTGATCTCCATCAAGTGCTTCGTTGTTTATCCTTGCTAAAGTACGCTGAATGGCTTGCCAAGAAAACACGTTAGATCAATCCCGACTTCTTGGGCGTGCTCTATAACCTTGCTGACCCAAGCTTGACAGTGCATATCCTGTTCTTATCTCAGATTCTCAGTCAAGTCATTATTCTTCTTGTTGCAGTTCAACTCCGTTAAAAGAAGGTCGCAGATAACTCGAATGGCATCATGTATCTTGACCCGTATGACTGTTTGTTCCTCTTTGTCCTAGTAATCCTCACAATTGACATTGAGCGCTAGATCAGCATCGAAGAGGGGCAAAAACGTAATTGGAGATGAGAGGTGCGAATCGTCCGCTGTCCTGAATACTAGAACAGTATGGCCTGAGATTGGTTGATTTGAAGCCATCAACTTACTCGCCACTCGGTGAGATAGATCTTCGGCGAGTAAAAATAACACATTAGCTTTTTCCCCTCTAGGCAGAATAGACTCTATAGTATGGCCTGAGACTTGGTAAGTTTTGTCTCCATTACAGTTTGCTTCCGGGTAGGGCTTTCCAGCAGTGTCGTTATGTTATTGGTCCAGCAGAAAGGGCTCCCCACCACCAAAGCTTACAACTCTTGGTTTACCTACACATTATCCTACCTTGACACCAGCGACTCGGCTGCCGGTGGGCCATTACCAGTGTGAATATAATGAATGCAGTAGGAGTGAAAGATTAATTCTGACAGATTATATAAACAGATCCGTTAGTATTTCGCAGTCCAGTCAGTTCAATGAGTGATAGCCTTAAGGGAAATATCCTGCCATGATACCTGGCGAGGATAGAGACACCTCCAATATGCCGAATGAAGTCGTTGGAATCTAAATGAGCTTGTGATTTGGTGGCTGCTTCCTCTACGGGCAGACCACGAATAGGGTAGATATAGACAAATAGTGGCTTGGATAACAAAGAACAATATCCCAGGTTCACTAGCCCATGTCCCCATCCACCTCGTTAAAGAGACAAGATACCACTCATAAAAACAGCAAAAGCCACTCACTGACCAAGATCCAGTAAGTGATATGGTAGGCCCCGGGCTTACTGGGAGGGCGCCTTACTCTTAGGTAGGCACAAACGAGCCACGTTTAGTGCCTGTTTTCTTAATCCTCCATCCGTAACCCTTCATTTGCGCAGTATAAGCCCAGCCCCATTGCCTGTCCTTCTCTCGGGGATTGACGAATCTGTCCCACTCTTTCAACTCAGAACCCGAGATGCCTAGGGCACTCTTGGCCACTCGAATGTGCGGCCTAGAGGGGGGTGGATCCACGGAGGCTTTTGGGGAACCGTAACACATCTTGAGAGTCTTTTGAGGGTTTGGAGTAATAGGTTTCTAAAGATCCGTTGGTTATTCTATCAGTGTCTGATATACAGAGGCAGGCACCGTAGTGGTTTATAGTTGTGATTCTGAAAGAAGCTCTTTTTCTTTAGAATGTCAACAGTGCAGACGTGTGAGTTGGTAACCTTGGGCGGATTATTTATAATTATTTGTGGTAAAGAAAAAGGGAAAATGGAAGTCAAAGTATAAACACACGGGGATTCTTTAGTAGAAGCACGACGAAAAAGAGTTCCGAAGAATTATAAAGTCCCTTCTTTCTGAAGGGTATCACCGACAAATGGCTCGAGGATCCGGCTTTAAATGGTGAATGAGGACGTCCCGACAGCCAAGTCGAGATTACCCAATAATTGATTAGAGCAGCGGTTTGGGGCCTGAGTGTATCGTCGTCTTGGCCACATACAATTTCTCATGAGGGGAACATCTTTGCATCAAGAACATCTCCCCTCTTGACATAAACTTCGATGATTTAAAACCTCATGAAAGAGTCTAATCAGAGGAAAAGGACACGCATCACGGTGAACCTACATGTGAGATTTTAACTCCCGTGAAACAAAGCAGGCTTTTTGGTCCTGGTAAAGATGAATCAAAAGTAATTTGAAAGCTGCTTCGTCCTCCTTAAACTCAGTTTTCAGTTTAAGATTCAACACTAAAGTGTCAATATGTGATGAGAAGCTCAACTCTACTTTGACAGTTCAACTCTGTGCTTCTCCATCGAAAGCTTCCACGTGCTTAGAACCAAGGTATATCTTATAGTAACAAAATCTATTGGCTATCGCGATTTTAGCAGTGCAGTCTCATCTAACTATCTATTGGCTAACTACCTTTTTCTCCTCGTCGACGGCAATTTCGCTTTATCTTCCTCTCTTATTGGCGGAAACATCTCTGTGAGGTTCGCCATATGTGACCCATTCACAGGCTGTCCCAAATATTTCGCCTCCGCATCGAGCTTCTCGTAAAAGGCCCCCGTTACCTGTTCGTTGCGGTAGTCGAGTCGGTGCCCGCACCGATACGTTGTGACGTCTATGATGGAAGGGTTATCCTTGCAGCAATAGCCCCAGCAGTCTGAAAACAACTCCATGGCGGGCAGGTAGGGCGACTCGCGATGGCTCTGCTCGATGATGTGCAGCATGGTAGGGATGCCGACCTCGTGAAAGACGTCAAAGGACTTGAAGATGGGGGCTGCGATGATGTAGTCCTTGAAGAACTTGCGGGGGATGAAGTAGATGTCGCTCCAGCCGACGCAGAACTCGTTGATGTCGATCTTGAAGCCCAGGTCCAAGTGGTCCAGGTGAGCGCTTGCAAGTTGGGCTTTAAGATGGTAGTGAGGTCCGCCCCAACCACCCCAGTCGTAGTCCTTGGTGTCGTTCATGCACGAGAACTGGGGTCCTACAGGTTTCATCTCGGGCCAGGTCATGGGGAAGTAGATCTTGTTGCGGTCCATGTCGCTCCAGGCCAGAGGGTCGAGCCAGGCGTCAAAGTGATAGTACATGAGGCCGTCAATCTCGGGTTCCTGGTCGAGAATCAATTGCATTGTATCGGCCACCTGCTGGTAGATGTGAAAGGTGAGCGTGCTCTGATCATGGGTAATGTTCTGAAACTCTGGTTTGAGTCCTTCAGGCTTCATCATCTCAGGCATCGAGATGTGAATGTCGCGGAAGAAGGGCTTGTACTTCATCAGGATTGGAATGCGTTCGGGATGAACAGAGTTCCATCTGATGAATGCCATGGTATTCTTGAAAGGTGATGTGACGATCTTTGGAGCATCGCTTTCTTGCGTGGCTGCCACTGCCACCGTGCTTGTGTCAATAGGTGCAGTCTCTATGGACTTGGTTGGCATGGACACCTGGTACATGGCCAGGGCCATCACAGCCATGACCGTGACGAGAGTGTTGAAAAAGATGAACAGCACCCTCTTATTTTGAGCAACGGCGCCAAGTTTGGAAAAGAAGCCAGTCTTGGGATCGGAATCAGACTTGGTCGTGGTGGTGGGCTTTGGAGCGGGGTTCTCCATGTAGAGCCAGGTGGCGATAAAAATGATGAGTGTCCCAGGAACAACAAGAAAGCTGAGGGATGTATCTGAGATGAGAGGTGCCAAGTAGAGCAGTATTCCAGTGGAGAAGGCGGTCGCAAAGCATTTGACGAGCGCGTCGGCATCTAGAGAGGAGGAACTTTGGTTAGCTCGCTATTGCAGGTGGACAGAGGAGCCTGGACTTACACTTGTACACAGCGGTAATCGCAAGGCCAATAAAGACATTGCTCATGATGACCAGGATAGCGTGAATGCTTCCGTAGCCTTGGAAGAAATGCGGCTCGTTAGAGCTTACGCACTTGATGCTGATATGGCAGACGAAGTTGACGATTGTGCCGGAGGCGTACAAGATCATGTTGTTGGCGTGTAAACTGCTATCGTCGGCCTTGAGGAGAACTTGGTTGTAAACACCCGACGAAGCGCTGAGAAATACTTGGAAGAGGAGAAGAGCGTATGTGTCGAGCGAATAGAGGGCACCTTTGCCAGGCTGGTATTGTGTGACGATGAGGCCGCTGAGCTGCAAGGTGTCGTTTGTCAATTACTTGTCCCCAAATGTCTACAGTGAGTCTATAATTCATACCTGCATAGTGATTGCCATCCATTGCGTTTTGGACACCTGCTGATTGAGAGTCGCAATCATGACCAAGGCGGTGATGAGCGTGACGCCGCTCTTTGTGAGTTGAATCGTGCCTGGGTCTGCCATCTTATAACTCAAGAAGAGCTGGCTCATCATCATTAACTCATACTGCAAGATAAACGGCAAGAGGAATTACTAACCGAGTTGTTGATAAGAATGTAAATCAGCGCCAGGTTGTAGAACCCGAATCGCACATCACCCCTCACCTCACCACGAACATACCCCCAAAACGTCCGTAGCCCAAAAGGCACCGGCGCCGAAGAATGTCCCGAATCCCTTGATCCCTCATCCTCCTGCGCCGTAAGCGACGACGCATCCTTATCTTTATCCTGAATCTCCAAGTCGCGATGATCATCCGCCAGCGACGCATACGCCGTATCCGAGCCTCGCGTCGAGGGCCCAACGCCCGTCTGAACTCTGGTCTTGCACTCGCGGTAGAAGAATATCGAAGAGAGGATCAATTTGAGAAACTCGGAGATGGTGATGGACCCCGATGGTGAAAAGGCATATGAACCGCCGCTCTGCGCTGTCTTCATGATAACGCCGATGCTGACTTGGATGCCGATGAGGCCGAGCGCCGCGATGTACGCGGCCCGTTGGGGGCTGCTGTTGCGCAGCGATAGCTTGCGTAGAAACCGTGTTGCAGACATGATTGTGTTTCTGCGCCGTCTACTCGGGTAGAAAGATTGGAAGAAAGAGGGGGGAAATGAAGTGCGTGGGAAGTTTAGTATTACTTCTGAGCGCACTGCAACCGTAACGATACGACGCTTCAAGCTGTTCCTGCATCGAGAACCACGCCACAGATATCAGCTCGCGGCCCGTTCACATAACTCAACAAGACGCCACATTCCTTGCACTTACGATCTAGCGAATGGCGCTTGGCCGCTAACCAGGAACAGGGGCCCTAAGGCATGCTGTATTCGGTAGTGGGCGTTCCAAACGGGATTCTAGAGGGTCCATGCTTTAAGGCTGAAAGGTGTCACCGAGAAATGGGTTACGTTGCCGGGACCCGGGCTGAAAGCTTGTTTCCCTTGTTTGCGGCCAAGGGTCCAGAGGGAGATGCGCGTCTGAACAAGGGGATTGTGTGTTGGGATCTGCATTTAGATAATTTGGGAGAGATCCAGATTGCGGTATGTCGTGTCTGGATCATTCCCTCATTCCCATCCCATGTATCTCGACTGGTGCAAGCTTTGTTAGTTGGATTAGTTATATTAGTGTACCTTTGTGGCGCGCCGCTTCAGTGATCAGGCCTAATACGGACATCGTGGAAAGCTTCCAGTGAGAGGGCGCTTCAGTAAGAGCAATTGCTGTAGCAGCGCAATCATCCATCAATTCAAATAGCTCATGACGATTATTGGGAGAGAACACTACATGATTGCACTGTCGTCGCTTGACGATGTTTTTCATATGAATCAGTGCTATGCGACAGTCTTAGCACTTCTACAGCAGCTAGTAAGCTACCATGATCATCACCCTAGTCTAAATGCAGCGATCAGCATTCCAGTCCAACCCCCCAACAACCTGCCTGATGGATACGAGATTGCTATGGAAGCTATCGAGCATCCAGACCGTTTACGTTACTTTCCATTCGCTAAACAAGTGCCCGGAACGCCTTCCGTCGCGATACCTACCCGTCCATCTTTACCCCTACGCAGGGTTGTAAATTAGTTAGTAATTAGTATTATTAATTACTAATTTTCTTTACTAATACTAACTAATTACTAATTACTAATACTAATTATTAAAAAGTTTTTTAGTTTTAGTTAGTATTAGTAATTAGTAATAGAAAAAGAGGTTTATTACTAATTTTTTTTAAAAGTATTAAATTCTTAAAAAAGTAAGTAAATAGGTAATTACTATATATATATATATATAT